GGGGTGTGCTGCTGGTGCGCAGCAGCTGCTGGGCATTAAAGCCACATGCGGCAATTCCCTCCTGCCTTGCCGTACCGGGGCAGCCGGGAAGGTAGCGAGTCCCGGGGAGAGCTGTGTTGCAGCAGTTCTAGCTTCCTTCTACGTCTGGCTAGCACTGTTGATGGGATTATTTGTGCCAGGTAATACCCTAATCACAAAGGCAGGAGTTTTCGCTCTCTCAAAAAGCCAGCGTGACAAATTATTACAGAACAGATGTAAGCAGTGTTTCATTTGCGCATGGTCTCGGTAGCATCACTTTAGGACCCTGTTGAGATAATTATGTCCAAATCAGCTGCTTAAGTTTGCAAAAGATTTCACAGTAGCTCCCTCATACTTTTCTCTCCTCCCCTGTCCCACTGAAGCGGGGAAATCCTTCAAACTGCAAACTTCCTGCTTTGCTGCCTTGAGATCTCCGAACTTTCTGCTTATTATCATGAAAGAGGAAATTCTCGACTTGGCTGTGACAGGGAGAATAAAAGCACAGACACTGGAGTGAAATAAGATCTACAGAGTAGCTTATTTTCTCCATATGTTTATCCTCAGCAGAACCATGAAAAATGGTAAATGCTCCAATGTGTTTTCTATTTTCTTAAAGAAAAAAAAAAGTAATGTGTATTTGAGAAAGGGGCTGTGCAATTGCATTTACATGTTTCCATTTAACAATCAGATTTTACCTTTTGTAAAAAATATCTGTCCTAAGGGAACACTCTTCAATATTTTATCTTAAGCCTCAAATTTGGTGTATGTCAGTGTCTTAGGTCATTTCAGCAAATTTAAAGAATTTGTAGTATGTTTCATTTTGGACTCTACATAAGACTCTACATTTTGGACTCATTTAAGACATAACCCATATTGGTGTTCAAGCAGTAAGTGCTCAGCTCCTTCTAAAGAGCAGACTCTGAACGTATTTCAAGTTTCATCCAAATCTTGAATTCAGTAACAAGTCTTTTTGCAGTATGGATCAAGATGATCCAAGTAAATCATATGGAGAAAGGGAGGAGGGCTGAAGTTAAATGCCTGGTTCTATGTCATGTTTTTCATATTCATTAATGGTTGTGAACAGGATTCAAGTGACAGTTCAGGGATATAAGAACTTCACAGGGAAATGTCATGCGTTTTAACTGTACCTCAGCCTTGGCTTGAGGAAACAACTTCTGAGCTTTCCTTGGCCTACCTGCTAGAGGGCAGCTGTGGTGGTGGATTTTACAACGGGGGACAACTGTGGACTAGGGCTAGTATCGAGACCATCACATTTATTTTACATAAGCCATCAAAACCGTCATTGTACTTGTTTTTATCGTTACTTCTTGATCTGGAGGCTAGATCCTCCCATCTAGGTGTCCTAGGCTTATGGTTCGGTAGGTTTATGGTTTTCGTAGGTTTTCCTAGGACCAGCTCTTCTGAGATAGAAACACTGTCCCAGTTTACTTTGTTTCATGCCATGAGGTGGTCTTGGGGCACACAGCCTGGGTTCCTTTTGGATGGAAGGGAACTGGAAAGTTTTCTGTAGGAGCACCTTGAGCTGCTCATGAGCGTGCAGTTCCTGGGACTGGTCTAGAGCTGATCTGAAGTCATCCTTGTCCCTGCCAATAGTGTGAGGTCCCAGCACTGACTATTTCTCTGTCCAAACCAAGTTTCTCAGGACGTCCTAAATTAGAGGCAGCCTGAGGGATTGAAGTTCCAACAAAAGTTGAGTTAGGCTTCCAGGTCTCAATACCATCAGTAGAGCTCACTGTGGTATAAACAGTGTTTCCTTTATGATTGAAAAGCTGAAGCCGTTTATAGTCTTTCTGACAGAAAACCTACAGTTTTCACTGAAATTAATAGAGTTTTCACTTAGATAAATGAAAAAACCGTGTGGTTTCAGTGTTGGAGCCTAGTTCTTCTGCGGGGTTACAGAATGTAATCTTTTATGATGGGTACGGTTCATATGGAGAAGAACATTAGCACTTGTGTAGTAGTGGTGGGCGAGAGAGCTAACTTTTCACTCATTTGGACTGAAATTTTAATTTTGTGTACCTGCCCTGTTGAGGAGGCAGTTAAATTAAGGAACAGAAAAATTTGATCAATTTTCTTCAGTTGATTGTTATTGCGTAGGAAAGGGACGGTATGTAAGTGGGATTTGTGTGAAAGCATAGTGTACATCATACCTCACCTAACTCATTTTCCTGAGTACTTCATGAGATCTTTTGAAGTGAATTGATAACATCTACGACCCCTTTTTCTGAGGCAAAATTACACTGTTGCAATGGGCAGTATATAATATAAACAGATGTGGAAGTGAAGCATAAGCCTGATTTATCCGAGCAGTGGGAGGAGGAGACCCCTGTTGCTGATGCAGTCATGTTGGGGAAATGGCCCTTTGCCTGGTACAGCTTGTGGCTGGCTGGAGAACCACAGAATCACAGAGTCATAGAATCATTGGTTGGAAAAGTCCAACTGTACCTGTCTACTACTAAACCATGTCTCTAAGCACCTTGTCTACATGTCTTTTAAATACCTCCAGGGATGGGGGCTTGACCACTTCCCTGGGCAGCCTCTTCCAGTGCCTGATAACCTTTTCAGTGAAGAATTTTTTCCACTCTAACCCTCCCCTGGCACAACTTGAAGCCATTTCCTGTTGTCCTATTGCTTGTTGCTTGGGAGAAGAGACCAACACCCGCCTCACTACAACCTCCTTTCAGGGAGTTGTAGACGGTGATAAGGTCTCCCCTCAGCCTACTCTTCTCCAGACTAAACAACCCCAGTTCCCTCAGCCACTCCTCATGAGACTTGTGCTCCAGACCCCTCACCAGCTTCGTTGTCCTTCTCTGGACATGCTCCAGCACCTCAATGTCCTTCTTGTAGTGAAGGGCCCAAAACTGATCACAGTATTTGAGGTGTGGCCTCTCCAGTGCTGAGTACAGGGGCATGATCACGTCCCTACTGCTGCTGGCCACACTATTTCTGATACAAACCAGGATGCTGTTGGCCTTCTTGGCCACCTGGGCATACTGCTTGCTCATATTCAGCCTGCTGTCGACCAGGACCCCCAGATCCCTCTGCCATGCAGCTTTCCAGCCACTCATCCCCGTTGCATGGGGGTGTTGTCACCCAAGAGCAAGACCTGGCACGTGGCCTTGTTGAACCTCATACAGTTGGCCTTGGCCCATTGATCCAGCCTGTCCAGCTTGCACTGCAGAGCCTTCCTACCCTTAAGCAGATCGACACTTCCACCCAACTTAGTATCATCTGCAAACTCACTGAGGGTGCACTCACTCCCCTCGTCCAGGTCATTGATAAAGATGTTAAAACAGAACTGGCCCTGATACTGAGCCCCGGGAACTTGTCACCGGCCTCCAACTGGGTTTAATTCCATTCACCACCAGCCTTTGGGCCCAGCCATGCAGCCAGTTTTTTACCCAGCAAAGAGTACGCCTGTCCAGGCCACAGGCAGCCAGATTCTCAAGTAGAATGTTGTGGAAAATGGTGTCAAAGGCTTTGCTAAAGTCCAGGTACACCACATCCACAGCCATGAAGAGGTAGTGCAGAGTTTACAAGGAGAAAGTGACTTTGGTGTGTGTCAACGTGGGAAATGCTTTGCTGGCTTCCCTGCACTGGAAACACGTCTATTACATGTTAGACTTATTTAGGTTCTTCAGTGTATATTGGAATTAAAGAGCGTCTCATTGAGGACAAATTTCTGGTTGGTTATTTGAAGTATTTTTGTTCCCCTACTCCTCTGTGATTCTTCATTCTCCAGTTATCACCAGTGTAGTGAGAAGCAGCTGGGTTTGTGTATTCTGCCAAAAGTCTACAAGGCTATTATGTGCAAAGCAGAAGATTTAATATATTAATTATTTTATTAGGTAGATGTAGCCGAGTAGTCATTCCCATGTGAGTTCATTCACCTCTTATTTTTGGCTTCATGCTGCATGAATAGAGTATATTGTTTTTCATCTGCACTCATCACAGATCAAATCTGAGTGGAAAGGTCTGGTTGTATTAATATTATTCTTTTGGATCTCCTGAATCTTCCAGTAATAAACAATAGTAGCTCAGTAGGTTGAGACATAAGTAATACTGAGCAATAACAGGTTTGGGCCAATGTGAGTGAGGTATGTAAACATGCATGAGGTGGATAAACTTAAGCCCCCCCCGCAGTAGTCGCAGCAGTGTTGGAGGGAGCAGGCATGCACAGGAAATTATGACGAAAGGCTTACACTTTTCCTTCAAATATTTAATTATAACATTTGGAGTGTCATTGCAATACCAGGGTTTTTGTTCTTATTAGCATTTAGCATTTCTTAAAAGAAATTAATCTAGGGATGGAGGAAGGCACTACCTAAGGCACTTACCTAAGGCACTAAAATGCTTTTGAAAACTATCTACAGATGGAGTTTATGAAGAGCTACAATATGAGGTTTCGATTACAAACTATTGATACTTTACTGGCTAAATTAGCAATTGGGATTTTTTTGCTGCTGAGTGATCTCTCGGGTGATCATATCATCTTCCTATGGCAAAATCTTTGTTTTCCACTGAGTGAGAAGCTGCACTTGCAAGGATAGAGGAGTATCTTTTTCCAAAATGCACTTTCTGGAGGGGAGAGAAAGCATCAAT